AATGTATGAGCCTTTGTTTTCCTGTTCTGCTGTATAAAAAGTTACACATCGCCTAGACAGGCTGTTGACATCTGGTCTCAGAAAATGCATTAGATGTTGTCATAGATCTAAAAACCAAAGTTGTGGAAAGGAAGCTGTTTGCTTAAGGTTTTTTTTTCTGTATGTGTGTAATAATTCCACTTAGATGTAAGCTGGTGGGGCCAAATCTAGTTCTCCAGTAGGTTTTTGTCAAATGAGGTGTAAGAAATTAGGCTTAACAAATTTTAATTAGCTATTTTTTTGAAGGGAATGTGTGTATCTATGAGTGCACAGACTTGTAGATTCCCCCCCCCAATTGGTTGTATGAAGGCTAGTGAGAGACAAAAGGATGAACAAAACCTTCCATTCTGAATGTTTTTAAACTGCATAATGATTTGCAAAAAGAATGCTTAATTTTTAGGTTGATTTTTAGAGAAGATAGTGACTCTATTTCACCCAGGTAACTTCAGTGCACCTACTTTTTTCATGTTGAACCTGCTCATGAAAAAACAATGCTGACTTTTGTATTGCCAGGATTTTACCAATTTGTAGGACTCTGTTGTAAGTACATGGCTTCTGAGGGGATAGTGCTTTTAAAGGTGGTTGAACTTAAACCTGATCCACCAGCATTTGAGTTGTGAAATATGCTCAAGCAATTCTTGTATAGGGAGATTGTCATTAGTTCTAGTATTTCTGCCTTAGTTCTAGTATTTCTGCCTGAATGTCTCTTTTTGGAGAGACATACAAGTTTTAATCTTAAATGTGTTCTGCAGGTTTACAAAATCGTAGGTTTCGTGGTCAAAAAGAATCATTTGGTACTTATCCCCACAAAACACAGATTGTGCATTTTTCTTTGTGATGCCTGGTGCCACCTTAGCCACTTGTTATGATCTAGTTTAAAGAATTGCCTTTCTTACCTAAAAAGCTCTGCCTGTTTTCCAGTATTGCTTTTCACCCTTGGGCTGGTCAGAGCTTCTCAGTGGTGGTAAACAGCTGCTTTCCACCCAGAGGCTAAATGTGTTTCAGTGGTGGATGAAGCACTCCTTTGTAAACAGTTTGTCAGGGCTCTTGGAAATCCATGAACAGAAAAGTTAGTCGCAGCGTGATTGTGATGTTTTAAGTTTGAGGCCAGAACTGTGATGTGTTGTAGCTTGAACATTTTATTTTAAAAAGGCTACCTTTTGTCTCTGCACTTGGTAAAAAACTCTCCCACTGCACCAACCACCTCTCCATGTACCAGAGAAGTGCTTGTATTGCTCAAGTAAGCACTTGGTGAAGCTCTGCAAGGCACCGAAGGGGGGACCGGTGTACTCACAGTGTGTGTAGCACAGGGTCAGGCTGACCCGTGTGAGTGGCCCTTGGGAGCTAGGTTGGTCCCAGCTACCAGAGGGGCTTGTGCATGCCCTTCTGTGCCTGGTAGCACAAAGGGAAAGAATCTGCATGTACTGTATTTCTTGCCTATAGGAAGAGAAGTCGCACAGCACATTTAAGTCTGTCTGTATAGATATACCAACTCTGAGTTGCTGAAATAGGAGCCAAAACCCCATGTAATTACTTCTCAGACCAAAAGGACAATTGAGGAGGATACGGTGTAAGTTAAATTACAGGACTGGCTGTATCCACTGCCAGTGGAGTCCCTCCAAATTTTGGGGGAACTGCTCCTTTGGGAGCAGTTCCTTTTGGGAACTGTTCTTAATATGACTTAGTTGGTAATAAAGTGTAAATCGGAGAAGTAGGTGGGCAAACAATAAGAAGATTCCAGTTTTAGTGTCATCACTTTGTTTTATAGCTGTAGGGAAGCTGTAAGACAGCCGCTTGCCAGTACACGGTAGCATTCACCTGACCTGCCATGCAGATACCAAGGCCAAGCAGGTAGCTCAGCTTCTTCACCCACCCTGTTTCAGATTGTACACACCTTCTAAGCCTCAATCTCCCTGTGTCTCTCTCTGCACTTGCACATATGTAATGCAATACTTCTGTATCACACTGTGCTTTGTCACATGCACGTGGGTAGTGCGCTGGGCCTCCACATCTTCAGATGATGTTGATAAAGTGAACTAAAAAGTAATTCAGAGTTAGAGTGTAATGTAACAACGTGTCCTTTAATTAGGAAGGCTATGTATGGTCAGAAACAGGAACTGCCGAAGAATAAATCTTGGTTCAGGTTTCCAGTTCCTGCTTTGCTCTGCTTCATTCAGAAGAAGACAGTCGCTTCATCCCATTGCCTGCAGAAGCTTCGTCTTCCCTGTGTCTCGCCTAGCTAGGGATGCGGGCTGAAATTCTGTTTGTTTCTACGCAGGGTGTGATTGTGGGTCTGAAACCTGGTCCTTATCTATGAAAAACAATCAGAAAAGAGGATTTAAGGATTCCTTACCCGCTTTGAGTTATACAGGGCTGAGACAACCTAACCCTTTAAATTCTGATATGATAATTAATATGAAATACTTCCTTACCAAGGGACCACTCAAGTGTCTTACTCGATAATGAAACCTAGAACCTGTGCCTGCTAAATTCAATAGCAGATTTTTCTTGTCCTGAGGAAGTCTGTCTGGGCTTTTTCTGCTTTGATCTATTTTGACTAAGGCACAGCAGAGCTTATTTCCAGTGTTTTTCTCTGTGGCAGTCCCAGATGAGAAGGCATTTCTGCAGTGTCTAGATTGCACGTAATTTTAAAACAACACCTACTGGGAAAAAGTGGTTTCAAACCAACATGATATAAGGCCATATTAATTGTTTTAAGATGACTGCTATGTTGCTGTTAGCAAGAGGAGCAATGAAGAATGACCTCTAAGTATTCCAAATTAATAATAAAAGATAAATTAATTTTCTTACATCTCCATATTTTCAGTTAGCTTGGATTTTCTTAAAGGGACTGTGCTATTCTTGAGATGATGTAACTTCACAATGTGAATTACTTCATTAAAAGTCTGAAATAAGCTTGTTGTGTGTCCTAAATCCAGGCACATTTTTCTTCAAAGACTAAAAAGTGCTAAAAGGTGATAGAATCAGTCACCTCAGACACTTGCATCCTGCCCTGGAAGTATTTTATGCCTACTTCGGTCTTACTTGTTGTCTTCAAACAATGCTTTAAGGAGAAGAAAACATATAATTGCTCTGTAATTTCTGCACTAAAATGTTTTCTTTTGAAGTAGCTCCGCTTAGCTTGTAAAAATACTTCTGGGTCTTAGTCAACCATTTAGTACAATTTAAAACTGCAATGCTAAATTTCATTGGTTGGACTTTTTATTAGATAAGGTAGAAATGAAAGCAGCAGGCAATTTAATTAGCAGTAATTTTTCTGGGCAAGTCATTACTTTGATGAACTTCAGAGCAATGTTTATGGCTCCTAATTAACCATGTTAGTCATTTGATTGAATAATCACTTTGGAAATGTTTCTACAATTTGATTAGAGTCTGACCCACTCTGATAGTCATAAATTAACTGATAGCACTTTAGGATAACAAGACTCTAGTTACTTTACGAGAAATAAACTCTTCCTTGCTGTATTTTTCGGTCCTCTGTGGACTGTTTAAGCATAAGCTAACCAGAAGATTAAGTAATGTTGGTACAAACAATGCTTGCCTTAAAAAGACTCCAGATGTTAATTATAATTGACTTAGGAGCATGGGAGATGAAACCCCAAGTTGGCTAAGAACACGCTTCTCGGATGCCTGCATAATTCTTTATTCCATATACTCAGCTGTATCACTTTGCAAGAGTGGAGTTCATGAGTCAAAAAGGGGTTTGCTGCCAATACTGGTGAATTTTTACCTAAAATAGAAAATAGCATCTGTTTCAGTTCTACAACTTCCTCTTTTTTTACGTAGATTTTTCCATTCTCCTTAAAATTCAATTTACTTGGTAACATGAGTGATTCCTTGCAGGTGAACCACTACTTGTAGCCTTGACTTGTAGTCTACAGAGCTATACTTGACTCGGGTGATTACTGAATCACTGATTCCTGTGGTTGCTCAGAATAGCTGCCTGAGATGTTAGAGATTCTCAAGGCCTGAGCAGGCAGGCACTGAGCGTTTCATCGAGAGAGGAGGTAATGAAGAGTTTGGCACAGATGTGCAAGAGAGACCTTGGACTGTTAGAGGAAACTTATTATTACTGCCCTGTGTTTCACTTGTTTTGTGAAGTCAGTGTAAAACCTCATTTTCTTATCCTGCCAAATCTTTGATACTCATCACTAGTCAGTGAACAGTGAAATTTGGAATCACAGTCTGAAAGAGTCTGTAGGCAGTGTTGGAAAAATAATGTCTGCTCTTTTGACCTCTGCTTGCATCTCTTGAAGAGTTACAAGTTACTGGTAACAGATTGCATAGCTTAGGGTAGGAGTCTACCACAAGATCAAATAGACTTTGTTAAGCAAGACTTTTGATATCCAAGAAGTGAGTTAAACATGGTCTAGAAGGGCAAACATTTATGGTGTATTTCTGTTTGCAAGTCCCTGTGCACAGGGTGTGGCTGCTTGGGGACAGTGTAAGACATGGAGTCTAAAAAGCAACATCCTACTCTAAATTCACTCTGACATTCCTTGTATTAATGTAGAATTTATAAGTCTCCAGTGTGATTGGCAGGCTTTTCTGTGTAATTGATTAAAAATATAAGGTCAAATTTGTTACAAAGATAGATATACAAGCACAGGGTTTAAAGTATTTGTGTGGATTTTTTGGTCCATGAGTGGTCTACAGTGTAATTGTCATGGGAGTCAGCTTTCAGCAAAGTTGATTACGTTAAAGGTTTGAGTTCAAGTGCCTATGTTAGATGGGATCTGTGATCCTCACATTCTGATTTTCTCCTCCTCCATGCCTCGTGCGTGCTGCTCTGAAATGCTGACTGTGTGTTGACAGGTTCACCCTCGCTGTAACTTGCATCCTTTTTGTTGCTCTTCTGCCTGCAGCCTGTCTCATTGATAACCTGCACACTTTTAATTCCAGACAGTCTTTTTACTAGCATTGTCGTCTTCTCCTTTCAGAAGTGCCTAGCTGCCATTCCATTTACATGAGGCAAGAAGGCTTCCTGGCTCACCCAAACAGAACAGAAGTTAAGTTTTCTATTATGTACCACTTTTGTATGAGAGAAACGTAAAAAACAAAAAAAAACTGGAGGGATTTGGGGTTCACTGATTTAATTCTGCTGCTGGGAAGACTCTCATCATCTTTCTTTCCCTTCTCAGTCTTCAGTTTCTGATGCACTGATTTTTTTTGTAGCTTCTTTTAGTGCCACAGGTTGATCAGGATAGAAGCAATTTTATTATGAATTTACTCATTTTGCTTTTCAAGGCCTCTAGCAGTTGAAAGGAAGAGACGCTTAAAAATTTGTCCATTATTTCACCCTCAAGTGATACTTTCCAGGCTATTGGTGTGACAGGCTCACTTAACTGTTAAGTAACCCATTTTATACTTTAAATTCAGTGAAGGTTTTTGGCTTTTCTTTTTGTTACGATTTCTGCAATGTTTTGGTGCTGCTTAGACCCAAATTGTACAGCCACGTGATATGTACGAAAACTTCCAGTGACTTCACTAGGGTAAAGCTTTATATAAAAGTACTTTATATGTATTAAAAATAAGGTGGCCAACAGAACTAAGAAAAAATGACTACTGAAAGGGAGGTTGTACCCTCCACTCTCCTGCTTTGGTGTATCTTTCTTGACAATATGTGATATTTCTGTTTGTTTGTTTAGGGTTTATTTGTTTTTTTTCCAAGGGGCAAATTTCACAAACATGAGAGTAATTGGTTTTGAGATTGATGAGAATTCAGACAAATGTATGAATCAAAGTCCTCTAAGTAAGACTTCATTCACTAGTGAAAAGACACAACTAGAAAGATAACAAATCTGGCTAAAAGCCCAACTCCTTCTGGGGTGGAATAAAGGCAGAAAATAGAAGTAAAAGGTAGTGTTTAACAAGGAGGGTGAAACAGGAGATGGAAATTTATAACAGTCTTGATATATGAAATTATATGAAGTATAGAAGCTTGATAAGGGAGATGAAAGACATCAGGGAAAAATCCACAAACTGCAGGGCTAAGGTCAACGGATTTGAGTTTTAATCATAGCACAGATAGGGGGAAACCAATCTTAGACGTGTTACGCACTCATAAGTACTTGGAGGTGGTAAAATTGTTATGAATGACGTAGAAAAAGCAGTGATCTTCAGTAAATATTTGTTTTCTGTATTTGGAAATCAGTCAACATGATTTTATGGAATAAAGGTCATGTCAAATCTGATTTTATTCTTTGCTGAGATTAAAGGTTTGATTGTTAAAGATACTTGCATTGTATAGTTAGACTTTTTATGGCATTCAATTTGCCACTGCATTACATTCTGATTAAGAAGTTAGCACAAAGCAATATCAATAAAGTACACATTAAATACATTAAGACCTGGCCAACTGACAGATGTAAAAGTGGCTGTCACTGGGCAATCATCTCTGAATGGATTGTTTCTACTATAGTTCTGTAGGAATTGATATCAGGAGTGTTGCTATTCAACATTTTCGGTAAAGATACGGAACAAAGTTAATAGATAACTTTATGGCACAAAGATAGGCAGAGGGGTAAATACCAGGCAGGACAGGGCAGTCACACAAAACAATTTGAATTGTTCAGTAATCTGGGCACATTAAACAAAATGGTTTTTTTAATATGCTGAATGTAGATCAGGCTTACGGAGCTGGGAAACAGTATATGAGAAAAAATGATTTTGAGATGGGCCTCCTCCTCCTCGGCTTCACAGTGGGAAACTAGCCCAACCAAACATTGCAACTGTATGGCAAAAAGGCCTTCTGTAATATTTGCACAGTCAAAAGGAAGGTCATAGGGAGGCAGAAGAGGAGGAGATGTTTTGTCTTGCTAAGTAGCACTGGTGAGGCTGATACTGGCATGCAATACAGTTCTGGTTAAACGAAACATAAAAATAATACTGAAAAGGAGGAGTGTGTGCAAAATAGAGTGGTAGAAAGAATGCAGGATTGCAGAAAGTGTCTTTTAACAACAAAAATTACATCTTACAGAATGATCTTAATTGGAAGAAACATCAAGGGGGGGGTAACTTCTGCGAGTGTGAGGAGGAAATACCAAGTAGGACCTTTTTAGTCTCGCAGGGAGAAGACCTGAAGGAACTAATAGTTAAAATTCAAAGCCATGGTAGTTCAAACAGGAAATGAGACAAACATTTTGGAATAAGTCATAGAGAAAAATGGGTGCTTTTTCACTTTTGCAGGTGGAGATTAACAGTCTTTTGGGAATGCACACATTAATTAAACACCCCTGTACTGAGGCCAAAATGTTGTGATTGGGCGGTGTGTAAAGGATGTGGGATATTAATCTGATTCCTATATGACTTAGTGTTCCCTCTGGCATTAAGCCTATGATCTCTTCTTTCTCCATGCATCTTTTATATAAACACCTCTCTCTCTTTAACTTACAGGCTGTATGTATGAAAAGGGACCTAGGCAGTTTTATGATGACACTTGCGTTGTTCCAGAGAAGTTTGACGGTATGTATGACACATCTCTCTTTTTCTTGTGTGGGGAGATGAAAAAGGAAGAGATGAGGGACTTTTCTCTGTTGCTGATCAAAAAAGCTCGGTAACGTTCCAATTTAGGATTCCTTAACACACCATTTGCAGTGCGCCCAACCAAAGCTGACCTTTGTCTCTTGAAAGCAAAGTCTCCTCTTCAATAGGATGTCGTTTGACTTTTGCCAGGGAAAGATGCTGTATCCAGAGTTGCAGCAGAGGAGCTCAGTTCCTGTACTGTTGAGAAAGTAATAGGAGGATTTCCATTGCACTGATGATCACATACCACTTGTTGTTCGAGATTTAATGAAAGCTGTTCTTATAATTAACAAAATGGCAGAGAAAAGCAGCAGCTTTGGTTTTACTGAGGATTAAGCCTCTTCTCTCGCTATCTGTGAAGTGATGAATAGTGGGGAGTGAGCGTATAGGGCATTTTTGTGTTTGTGTCAGTTTATTTGCACTAGGTTAAACATTGTACTAGTGGTTTATTTTTCAGTGGGATTGATAACAAATCAATGATCTTTTCACAACACTACCCATTACAACAGATTTTTTTTCAAGAGGGATTCTGAGGTCAATTAAAATAAATAGTCCAAATTATCCTCAGTTACTCTGATGTAAAATCAGTTTCCCGGTGTAACTCAGTTGATTTCAGATTTATTTCATTACAGACGAAGTAGATGGACTCAGTATTTCTTGATGGTGACTCTGTTAGTCTGCAACTTTGGGAAGTAATTTGGAGACCAGTTACTTAAATTTGCTAGAGTGGCTTCTTTGTGTTAATGTACATATGTCCAGCTTTATTTATTTTAGCAGGAAAGATTAGATACTTTCTGATAAACTTGTGGACAGCTCTCTGACCATAGCTAAGAGTAGAGCTGGAGAACTCTTGGGGTTTTTCTCCTACTTTATTTTGTTTGTTTTCCCCTGAGAATAACTTATATGGATTACAAAACTATTGCATGTCTGGCTGCATTTGTTGTGTTTGCTGAAGAATGGGAGACTAAAATGAAAGTAACCTGAAGAATTACACATTCCTCAAACAGAGGGATCACATGCATTTCAGGGTTGGTAAGGAATAGCAAGAAATAAATAGAGGATTTTAAATAAAATTAGACCTTAGCAAAGATTGCTCAATCTAGTATTGCAGCGTCACTGGATTGACATGTTCGCTGAAAGGGTGATTTACTGAAAGTCTACTTTATACACTGGCTTTGGAATGTATGCTACCACCCCCCTTTTTAAAGCACATTGTGTCAGGTGTTTTTTCTTCCCCAAAAATGGTTGTGGACCTGATCTGTTTTCAGTACCAGTGGCAAATTCATATTCACATTTATGGGAATGGGATCAGACCCTGTACTACAAGAAGTTAAAACTCTACAGGAGTAGTGTTTGTCTATGTCTTTCTTGAAAATCCTTTTTGTTTGTTCGGGTTTTGTTCAGAGAAGGGAATGAAAAAGGAAAAGAAATACAAATAAAGTAAAAAAAAAATGTTTGGAAATATTTGTGTGCTTGCAATGCAAGCAGTCTGCTGCTAGCTTCTATGACTGTCCATTGAGAGAACACCTTGTACTCTAGAAGACTGATGTTGTGATACAAATAGGTGTGTTTATACTTGTAGCATGATGACTTTTGAGGAAAAAATAGCAGATGTGTCATCATGTTTTGGCCAGTAAAGCAAAAGTGGGATGAGCCCAGGACTGTCTTGATGCTTCAGAAGAAGATTCTCAGCTGCTTCGTTTGAAATCAAAGATCGGCACAGGCGAAGAATCTGATCCTCTGCAATACTACACTTGCTATTTGCACATTGCTCAGCTATCATTAAAAGAAAAATCCTGTCCTTGAAAAAGATGGCCTTTCAGGACTGGAACTTCAGCCTCACATAAACCAAAAGCCTTGTGTTGATTTATTTGTTTTCCACAGCTATTGACTCAATTTTCTTTCCTGATTACAAAAGGAAGTGCTCCATTTTTAATACTATTATTCTTACTTTCACTGTGTGGAGCTGTTCTGTAATGGCCATCAGAGCATCCTCATGTTGTGTTTGAATGTAAAGTCCTGCCTTTCCGTATTAAACAGGTCACACAGGTCACACTGCTTATTGGAGGGTATTGCTGTTCTGGTAGTTGAAATGAGGAGTTTTACCAGCATATCAAGGACTGCTGTCATTGTGTACAGAAAAAAAATGCTCTCTGCTTCAGCATCAGACCTTTCAGCTGTTGTTTTTTGCATGAGTTGTTTAGTATGAATATGATTTAAAAATCCAGAGACACAGTATGGATGTAGCAGGATGGTTTTTCATTGGCAGTTTGTGGAACAGCTAGCTGAATATTATTATTGTTTTGTAAAAGCTTCCTCTGGACTTGAAATTTTAAAAGAATTAACCTACTGCTTTTCAGGGGGAATACCAATCTAATATGTAGATATGAGTAAAAGTAATATGTGCTTATATGCAAGTCCAGTATGCCATAGAGGAACTCACATATCTGCAGGATTTGCATACCTATACATAAAGCACATGCCGTTTAAGTCCAAGTCAAATACTTTGTCAAATTTTCCTTAGAAGCATTTGCATGCAAAAGAAGTTTCACTCAAATAGCATTTTGCAGCTTTATGAAGCCTACATTACATTTCCAAAACTGGGGCTTGTGCAAAGTATAAGTACACAAACGCAGTACTTCAGGCACCAGAGTTGCTTACAAAAATAGTTCGTGTTCTTACAGATAGAGGATATTGCAAAATGGTTTGCAAGCGAGATTTGCACGTGTCAGAAATGGGGATAGGCTTAGGGAGACTTCCATAAATCATGACTGAATTTAGGTACTTTTTAGTATATTAATATGTTATTGTAAGAGTGTTTACAGTTAACAGCAGACAGGGGAATGTTGCCTTTGTGGGTGGCTGGGTAGTAGGAATTCTTTCCCTGTGTTTTATTAACCCTAATGACTGCTTTGCTGGTTTATCTGACAAACCGAGTGATGATGCTTTTTGCACATTGCTCATCTAACGTTGTTGCTGTTCTGTGCAGGTGATGTCAAACAGGAGCCAGGCATGTACCGTGAGGGACCCACATATCAACGGCGAGGCTCGCTTCAGCTGTGGCAGTTCTTGGTGGCTCTTCTTGATGACCCATCAAACTCTCACTTCATAGCGTGGACTGGCCGAGGCATGGAATTCAAGCTGATTGAACCAGAGGAGGTGGGTTAGACAGACAGCATGTCCTGACATCCACTGCCCCATCCTGCCAGTTTAATAGTGCTCATTCGGACTTAGGCCTTGTTTTCCTTCAATATTTTGCTTCAGTAGCACTTTAGAAGGGTCACAGAAAGGACCCGCAAGGGAAGTGCTTCGGTTAGGACAGAGGTGCAGTTAAGCATAGACTTGATTCCTAGTCCCACAAAATAATAAAAATACTACAAGTCCTAGAGTTATAAAATACTCGGCATTAATTGTGGGGCCTGGATTTTTCCACTTCATGGATAGAGCTGTGTTTCAAAATCCTTTGAAAACTTGTCCCTGAATAGTCTTTCAACACCAAATATTCTTCAGTATGAAGATGTGGGAACTTGAAACTTTTAGGCTGTAAAGTGAAAGACCCCAAGTCTGACATATGGCAAAGGAGGAGGTTAAGATTGTTAGGCAGTAAAATCTCATCAGAATTATGTAAACCCCCCTCTTTATAGAGTCTTCTTTAGAGTCTTCCTGCTTATTTGTATCATTAGATTGTTTAGTGCACACTTAGATCCTAGACTTGCAAACACTCATGCACATGCACAGCTCTCCTGAACAATGAAGGACTCGTGGGGTGGATAAAATTACTTGTATTCATGAATATTTGCTGAAGCATGACTTAGTTCACTTGTGTGATAAACAGGAATAAATTGAACATTTTATTACGTAAACTTTTTTGGACTAGGTAACATTACATAATTTATCCTGTGTTCTAAACAGTCATGGAAACTGTTGGAAAACCTGGTGTACGTGAATTTTGTTGTAATTCTGATGTGAATGATTTGATTAGAGTTGTCAAAAAGCAGTATCATTCTGATATACTTTTTTGCCCCTTGGACAGGGTTGGGTAATAGAGGAATCTGCAGCAAATTTTCCATCAGATCCCCTCTGAGTTAGAGCTGAGTAGGAAGGTTCGGGGGTGTAAGGCTGCTTCTGTGTTCCACCAGCTATTTCTGCTGTTCGCCATCCATCTGCTGGCATGAGCAATCTGAAAGCTTTCCTGCATTTAAGTTACATCGTCTGCCAACAGCCCTAAGGAGATGATAGAGTAGTTGGGAATGGCGTCAGGACTGATGTCCCTTCCCAACATGGTCTGGCTGACGGGCAGGTTGCTGCAAGGACTGGTGTGCTGGCTCTCATTTGTCTGAGCATCCCCTGCACTAGTGATAGTTACCGTGGCAGATCCTGGCATCTGAGGATTGACCACAGAACAATCTTAGTCAATTTGATACCGAAACTTTGCTGGCAAGTCTGCAGCCTTAGCAGGCTACATGGACTTCTTGGTTGTGTGCCTGGTCCAGAACAGAGTGAAATCTTTGGAAAGTGTTTTGTTTGATTTTGGTGAATGAAGTGTCTAATTTTCCCCCCTGCCCCAGTCTCAGTATCTTTTACCCTCTTAGTTTTGTCTTGCCTTTAAGGTATGTCCAAAGTTTTTCAAGATTGAACAGATTTATAGAAAAACGGTTTCCAGCAGATGGTGCAAAAACTTTATACATTTTATTACCTAAGGAAGGGAAAGTAGCAAAACAAAACCCTAAGGTTTCCTTATTGTGTAATTCCCTGAAGAACTGGATAATTCTGATTTAAGTTAACCAGATCATCTGCTTGTCTGACTTTATAGCAGTTGCTTTGTGGTTCTGAGCAGTGCTGCATCCAAGATCTGGAGGAGGCAGGCTACTTGAAACTTGCCTCACTCCTGTGTGCTCTTAGGGACTACAAAGGAGCCTAAGCTGTTTTCATATGGATGTCATGGATCTGACAGAAACTGTCGATTAAAATAAGAATAGCCTATGGGAGGTTGCACACTTCTGTTGGTTGCCAAGTGTAAATTGAAGGGAAGTGAAAGAGCTTGTTGGTTCAGCTGTGGCAGGTTAGGATGTCAATGACACGACCTTTCCTTCCCATCCCATCCCTTTCTGGAGGTTTATGCCCTTGTAGAAAGGGTGACAACAGAAAATAAGTATGTATCAGCTTGAGCACCATAGTTTATTCAGAAAGTAGATAACTGTGAACTGTGGAGGCTAAGAATCGGGCATAGGTCCATTTATTCTGCCTTGTCACAGGGACAGCAACCTTCAGCAAGGAAGGCGGGGTGGACGGCTAGAAGCCTGAATCCCTTCCACAGAGTGACACTTGATAAATGCTGTGCAGTTTGGGGACAGGAAGACTTACTTACCAAGACTACTTCTGGACCTGCTCACTTATTTAGGAGCGTCAAAATACCACACAATATAGCATATTCTCAACCATTATTTTGTTGTTATCTTTGCTGTGTGTTTGTTTATTATGCAAGCCTGTTATGTTGGGGACTTTTAGGACTCTGATCAATGCAGAAAAAACCTTGGTAGGAATAAACAAAGAGTGATGTAGGCATGTGTCACAAAGATGAATAGGCGAATCAAGGTTATGCATCTAGGCAAAATCTACAACTAGAATAAATCGACATGATGGGAGGTATGTTTCAATACAGCTTACAACATAGCTGAAGTTAGCAGAGCCATGATAATTTACGTAAGTCTGAAAAGCTGCACCACTGAAAGGAAATAATGCTTTCAAAAGATATTTTTAAAATTATTGTCCAGATGGAGATCAAAGTCATGGGTTTTGCTGTTGTTATTTAGTCCCCATTCAATTCTCAGTGCTGCATGTCATCTATGGTTTGCATCAAAAGGCTCCAGACACCTATGGGAAAGTTTCGTAGAGCAGTGTGCAGAGAAGCTGCTTGGCTACTCTCTCCTTTTTCCAGAGCTATATGCATATGCACCTCTCAAACATTTTTATAAAATGTGCTTTAAAGAGTTCATCAGCTCTGACTTTTTTTCCCTCTGGTGACATGATAGTCATTTGTACAGCCAGTAATTGAAATGTCACCAACAGCCAATTATAATTTCAGGTGGGGAATAAGCAGTTAAGCTCTTTAAACAAAAGGTCTCTTTGTCCAGAACTACCTTTGGTGGTAAAACAGGAAGCATAAAGGCAAGTAAAAATCATAAGTCTGAGCAGAAGGCATATTGTTCTCTATGGAATGGCTTCATGAGTTGTTTGCAACTCCCTTTTTGTTATTAATTTTTAAGGGAAATTATACAACTGCAACTATGAAATTTCTGTCCCATCCTTCATACTACCATGTAGTTCTTCCAAGTGATTAACCTGCCTCCTCTGATAATTCATTTTCTTTGCTGAAGTAATATTTAAGACTGGGAATTGGCTTTTGACTTGTATCTCCTAATAATATCAACATTGCTGTTATTCCAAGTACAGTCTGTGTTAGTTCATGAACTAAGTGTGTATGCATGTGTGTTTAATGTAAATTAGTGTTCTGACAGCACGGAAAGCACAGGCATAGTACAATATATCTACAATATCAAACTAAAGAAAAGTTTTTATCTTTCATGAAAGTTTTCTGGTGGAACTTGATAAATATTTTTTGTGTATCATCTCTTTATATGGCTTTATTTTTAATTGATTTTCTTTATTAAAAACAAACAAAAAAACCCCCAACCCTCCACCACATTTGCAAATAAGTAAGTCTGCTTCAAGTTTAATTGATGACTGTGTGTCCAATTAAAAATCATAGTAGTACATGGGAAATTCAGGTCATGGCAACCTTTTCTCTTGTGTTTATTCATTGCACCTGCAGGATTCCCCCTCCTCCATCCCCAAATAAAGTATCTGATGATAAGATCTGCTTGTTAAATGCATTTAACAAATCAATGCTAATCCATTTTTGTGGCAGGTGGCACGTCGCTGGGGGATTCAGAAAAATAGGCCAGCTATGAACTATGATAAACTTAGCCGATCGCTTCGCTATTATTATGAGAAGGGAATCATGCAAAAGGTGAGTAGCTAATTTTATATTAAATTTCACCAAAGTTTTGCATGTTAATCCCTAAGTCGGTTTATGAGGAGTACTTGTAACTGCATTGCTGAGGTAGGTTTTTCATCTATTTAGGCAAACACTAAGCTTTTTCACCTACAAAGTCCAGTATATGGATCAAGATATTTTTTTCTGTGTAAAAAGCGTCTGTGGTTTTAGTTCACTCAATGCACGTCATGATTATAAGGAAGGAGGTAACATTCAAAAATATCCAAAGGAGCTTCCTGGCACCTGGGAAAGGCAAACAGTACAGTATGGTATGAATAATATTTTGCAGATCTAAATTAGCTGCCCAGCATTTGGGTACATTGGTAAGTGCAAGATAGGGGAGAAAAATGATACCTATTAACATACCAAATACTTTAATATTTTACCAATAGTGTTGTAATAATACCATTTTTAAGTGGAATTTAATATTTTATAATAGGCTGAATTATGAGAAATATTTAACAATAATTTATATATAACAGTCTGGTCTTGCTGACAGTATTCAACCCGTCCTTCTACTGTGGCTTGCTGATTTACATGTATGTTTTTAAATCTTGCTATGTAGTACTATGTAGATTGACTGAGAAATCAATAGGAGAGACCTGTCTGCTGCATCTACAAAACTGGCAGGTGTGATCAAAGATCATAATGAACACCTTGTGCTGTAAAACTTGTTCCATATCTTTTCACATTAGTTTTGTGACCTGTGATGACTAACATGTTTAAACCTGCCATTTGCCAATTCCATGAATGGAAACAGTGCTCTCGGCTCAAGTTACTGGGCAACTTTTCCAGTAGGTTTTGTGAAGTCTCGGTTTGGAGTTACCTGTTACAAGTTCTCTTGCTTTGATTATGGAATCATTGTAGTGCTCTCCTTTTTCACTATCCAGGAGTCAACTTGGACAACAATCTGGGCTGGTATTGGCTTATGGTACTTCAGTAGCACAGTGCCTCATCCATTTTTGTGTGTCACATAACTGCATTGAGTCTTTGCAAAGTGGACTGGAGACTGGGTCCTGTCAGGGAGAAGCAGAAACGCTTGATTTTGCTGGGTGGTCCTTCAGGCAGAGGAGGTCCTCGTAGCAGGTTACAGGTCAGCTGCGTAGGCAATTGTGCTGGTACAGTTCAAAGGCAGCACAGAGGCAAGCAAGAATAAGTAGCAAAGAGAGTGAAACAAGTTGAAAAGGTGGGGATGAGAATACCATAAGGCTGATAATGCTGCCCAACCCACACATCCATTTAACATGGAAAGTTTACAGGTACTTCTGACAGCTAGCTTGCTACCTCCTAAAGTACTACTTCATTATCTACAAGAATGTCTTTAACACACATTTTAAAAACTAGTTTGGATGCTTATTTTTCTGGCATAGCAATCTTTGAGGTTTGCCCTGGGATGACCCTATCTGGCCAGTTAGTGTATGTTAAAAACTAATGGTGGTTGTAGATTCATAGCAGGTTTCTTTACTGCAAGGTTTGTATGCACATTTTTTTGCCTTTTGTTTTAAGTTAAGCAATGATAACAGGTTATGCAAATGCCCAGTATCTGAATGCAGCCTTCAGTCTGTCAAGCTTGCTGACATTAATTTGATAAAAAAATTCTACCACAGATACAGCCTCTACCAAAACTTTATTTGTAGAATAAATAAGCTGAAAATTCAAGGAGGTGCGTCAGTCTATTTTGGAACCGTAAGAATAAAGTTAAGTTCGCAACACTTTTGCCACCTTCGTTCAGTCACTTCCAATGCCACGCGAGCTGGAGTTGCAAGAAGACAATATGATCTTTATTTTAAAATAATTTTAGTAAACTGTAAGCATGCAACATGGTTCTCATTTTTTAACATATTTCTTTAAATAAGGTGCTTGAGAAGACACTATGTTGACTTTTTTTTCAAGTAAGACAACAATTCTCTATTGTTTTTAGCTGTTTTAGCTTTTAGAAAGATGAAGCACAGACATTTAGTGCTATTTCTGAATAAGGGAAGACTTTAGGATCTTTGGACAAATTGCCCCTCCATAAGCAAATCCAAATGTCCTAGCTTTGCATGAGCAATTGCTAAGTACATATTAGCCTGCGTATTTGCTTACGCTGTCCCTGTACAATCAGCATGCACTATAACTTAAGTACTTTTATACGTAAGTATGGATCAATCTGCGTAAAGTGAAATTCAGATCTGTATCGTGCAGTGTGATTCTTTTTTCCACTTCGCACACATAGTATTGGACTTGGTCATTTTATTTTGCCACTGTAGTGACAATTTGTTTACGTTTTCCAGTAAGAGCAGTTCCATTTGTGGTTAAGTATAGGAAATGATCACAAACAAATGTTTAGGAGTAGAATACCTAGTCCATCTTCCAACAGGGTATCACATGTGGCAAAATCAAGAGCGTTCTGCACAGTCTGCTTCTGCAGATCCCTGTTGTCTTTGCTAGGTGATTGCCTTACCAGTTCTGCCACTGCGTTACTAATTGTGTAACGAAGGTGAGTTCTTCACAAGACTGTTGAACTTGAGTTGCAAAACCACAAGGCCTTACACTGCACTTTTTTCTCCCCTCTGTTGTCCTAAGGTGGCTGGAGAAAGATACGTCTACAAGTTTGTTTGCGACCCTGAAGCGCTTTTTTCCATGGCTTTTCCAGACAACCAGCGCCCCTTACTGAAGACTGACATGGAGCGCCACATCAATGAGGAGGACACTGTGCCTCTGTCCCACTTTGATGAGAGCATGGTCTACATGCAGGACGGTGGCTGCTGCAACACCCACCCCTATAATGAAGGCTATGTCTATTAACAACAGTGACAATGAAGAGGGTGTTTTCCCCCTCCCTTAGGCTTCTCCTCTTTCACAAGACCCAGAGGAAAGCTGAATCGACTTCAATTTGTTTTTTAAATAGTACACTAAAAGGGGCTTTTCCTGTTGCATTACTCCTATGGTCTGCCATGGACAGCGCACTTTATTTGAAAGGGGAGGGTTGGAACCTAAACGTTATTCTGTGTAACAGGAGGAAAAGGGTGGGTTTGCTTTTTACTTAAGTTTGGGAAGGGAACAGGTTTTAAGTACAAAAAAAGCTATATCATGTCTGTTTTGTTTCATATCAGCATAAGATATTGTACATTTTCTCTGGGTATCCGTAGTACAGTTAATTCTCATTGTGCAAAATAACCACTTGATGATGATAGCAACACAGCATGCCTAGGGCATTTGTTTCTTGCCATTCTTAACTGTCTTTCTGCAGTTATAAAAGAGAAGCAAAGCATATGCCACAGCATTTGATTTAGAAGCTTGCAGTGGCAGACCTTGCACCTTGCCTCTGAAAACAACCAGATTATCTTGAGAGTTTTTTGGTTTGGTTTGGTTTGGTTTTTTTTTCTTTTGGTATGGCCTCAAAACAAATCTTGTTTAATGACAGAGTGGCCATAAGTACAATGACCAAGCAGCAAAATCCCTGACTTGAGACTGCAAGCTGCATGCCATATCTGGTGCCACGTTGCTATACATATATGGCCCATGCGATGGCTTAGACATTTCAAGATCCATTTGAGGGTAGTAATTACATGTGGTAGGCTTTCTGATGATCATGTCAGCATTAAATAAAGGATCGTGATCAGGAGGGAGAAAACATTTTGTATCCTTCCATTTCCTTTGGTACATAAATAAGTTATTTAATCAATAGGAATTAACTGTACTAAGTCACGTATCTAATTATGCTGTTTAGACACAGCAAGCACTCCTTGAGAAAAATATCCAATACACTAAATAGGTACTTTAGTAATTTTTAGACATGGTACCCATTAATATGCATTTAAACCTTTTACTGCTGTGTTATGTTGATAACATATATAAATACTAGATAATGCTAATGCTTCTGCTGCTGTCTTTTTCTGTAATATTCTCTTTGATGCTGAATTTACTATGACCATTTATAAGCAATGCTGTAACTACAGGTAGCATTTCAGGACAAAATAGATGACTTGAACCATTTATTGCTTAGAAAATAGCTTACGCCATAGCTGTGCTATAAGCAGCTTTTATGCGCATCCACAAATGACTAGTAAGCTTCAGCTTGCTAAGGAAAGCTCTGCAGAACCTTTTGTAATTTTTGGTGGAACGGAGACTTAGACAAACTGTCAAAGAATACCATGAAGTCGCTGTATGACGTTGTAGTGCTGGCACTGATGTTACCAATCAACTTGTTTTGGACACTAAATGTAAATGTGATCAGATATGCTCAGACGACAATTTAAATTTTGAGGGGGTTTTTTTGTTGTTGTTATTTTTTCAGATTGTTTTATTTTTTGAGAGGGGTAATCTTGAACACAAGCCACACACACTATTCTGTATGTAAAATGAAAAAAAATAGCCCTGACAAAACCCCCAAAATTTTAAATATTTATAAGCAATGTTTCTGAAATACAGTATTTCCTAGTTTGAAGGGAGGGAGTGGGGGTAAGATCTGGATTTCTTTTTTTGCCCAGTGAAATTTAAATAGGTGTTATATGGAGTACTTCATTTTCCTATATTCCCAAGAAGCAGGAGGAAAATGAATGCATAACCATAAAAAAAACAAGAATAATTTTCATCATAATGGATGGATTTCAAAGACAATCCTAGGTGGTGGGTTAATTTTCCATCCTCTGTCAGTTAAGGCACTAATGAATATTTTAATATGCAATTAATCAAAAGTAAAGAAGTAGTGGTCACTAAAAACCACAGGTGCATAAAAAACATTTGGGCAGGTATTTAATTTACTCAGATCCATAAGACAACATATTTTATGAGAGTGTACATATGCCTTAATATGTCAACTAATTCTGTCATCCGTAAGTCTCAATGGCACTTAAATTTTCAGTGATCAACGCAGAATCAGAAGTCTAAAATTGCAGAATTAGCAAAAAGGAAAGGGAAAAGGTTGAGTAAGACTGTTTTAAAAAATGTGGTTTCCATTGAAATAAGGTTCAAATGAAACATGCTTTGCTGAAAAGTCCTTGGATTGGTTTTGGTTCTTTAATGTCAGCATGGAGCGCCTCTTGCCTGTGGCAGGATGTAGGTACTTGGGAAGGGGGTTGGAAAAAAAAAAAGAGGAAAAAAATGCATCAAATGTGTAATATTTAAGAAGAAATATATATATATATATATCTGTATACGGTAGTGACTCACTGAACAAAACAAGCAATCAGACCAACATTACATGATCTCTCAGCAGAAGATATAAAAGTCTTTCACTGAACTGATTAACCCTTTTTAAAATGTACCTAAGAGGTTTATTTAAAGTTTGTTTTTATTCTGCTTTTTGTTTGTTTGGGGGGTTTTTTTTGTTTGTTTGTTTGGGGTTTTCAGGTAGAATAATAAATCTGGCAGCTGATTTCTGCAAGATTGTTGTGTATTGGATTCCTAACCATTTGGACTGGAGAGGCCCCTGCAGTAAGGTTCTTGTTTTGGAAGAGGAGATGATGGTCTGTTCCCAGTGCCTAGAATGGCTTCCTGCAAAATGTAGCCAAAAAAAAAAGAGAAGTGAGGAGTACGTACAATTCATGTGTATGTATATGTAAGTTACAGCCAGGCTCAGGAGTTAGATTGCCAAAGCATCGTATTTGACTGACAAAAGGGAGGAGAATGGTATATGTGAATTTAGAGAAAGATTGATTCCGACTAAGAACACTTACATGTTTTCACAGGGCATTTTAATACCCTACTGAATTCGAATGTGGGGGTTTTGGGGCTGGGGTGAGGATGCTGGGTTTTCATTTGGTTGGTTGGGGTTTTTTTGGTTTTGTTTTCAAGCTGTGCCACAAGTGGAGGGAAAACACAGGCTTCACCTCTGTTTTTAGGAGGAGCTGTAATGGAGTTTGTTTGTGTGTCTTTTTGCTGCCCGGAGCAGTGGGCAGCCCAGGGTAGTGCTACTGTGAAGCAAATCCAGGAGGCATCACTGCAAGACCCACGCACTCTGGTACGGCTGTAGGTGCTTGGGTTTCCTCTGCCGTGACAGTTCAGTTGGACTGGTAGCTGAATGGAGGTAAAATTAGATAAGGACTTGGCAGATCCCCTCAGAATCCATTCGAGAGAGTTAAGATTTCAGGTTTAGGGCAATGCACAGATTTTGCTTTAGGGATATGACTTCCCATGACAGCCTAAGCCTTTTCTCTCCAAGATCACACCAGTCCGACTTTCCCACACACCAACTACAGGGCAAATCGTAACATTACAGTCTCTGAAAGCATGAATTTCATATGCTGGTCAGACCAAATCTGCCTGCTTTACTTACAGTTGGCTGCTGTGGTAACTAGGGGAAATTAGGATACAGAAACATTAAGGAGCGTTTTCTCCGGTAATTCCCTGTGAAGAGCCCTTTGCTCAGAATCTTATCTTTGGGATTCTCTGGTACCTGGTACCATTCCCCACGAATTAGTGCTTAGACTTTTATTGCCCTTGACATCTGACTGGTTTGGGCTGCAAGTCCATCTTCACAGGACAATATAATCTAGTAAATATTTTTGCCTTGTTTGTGGTTTTGTTTGTTTGTTTTTTAACAGCAGGAAATAGATCATTGTGTGCAAAAGGTATTATGAGGAAATCTTTGAATTGTTAATGGTTGCACTTTCTCGTCTGAAGAGCATTAGCTTCAGTTCACATACTACAGGTAATGGCACCCGTGAACAGCCCTGTTCAGTGCTCGCATTAATAGCACAGAGGTCTTTTCCAAATAATCTCCTTCAGAGATGTTTGGGGACTCTTAATTAATATGGTTTCTTACACTGTAAGAGTCATCACTCTGAAATACCCCACTTGGATCTAGCTGTAAAAGCCTAACAGATTAATTTCTCAGTTCTCTTCCCTGGTTGTTTGGGGTTTTTTTGTTGGGAGGTGTGGGGTGTTGTTTTTTGGTTTTTTTATCAGAGGCTACTCTGCTTGTAAAGGAGGTAGCAGCTGGGAGCAGGTGCCTGTGCCTTAGAAACTCCAGTTCAAAGTCCTCTGTGTTTTGCTAAGATACCAGGCTGAGAACTGGAGAATCTGCAATACATAACTGAGCCCTGCCCTCCTTGTTCTCTTACGGAAGAGGGAACTACAGTGCATCGTCTTCTGTTGCTTCTGCTTACAGGAGTGGTAATCTGGCAGAGCAGGGGGCTGGAAAGCTAGGGGCAGTTGCATTTTAAAACTACAAGATTACCCCGAGGATGTTTGTCAAATCCCTAAGAATCATAAATGCATTCAACAAAGCACTGTACATTACCACCCAGCTTTTGTGACTGCGTAGGCAGCTAAAGTTAACCTCATCTTTTACTTCGGGAGGTTGAAGTATTGGTTTCCCCCTTGAACACCAATTTAATTTCTGTGGGAAGGAAATATCTGTGCCATCTTCTTATGTAATAGTCTGAAAATGCCTATGAAGAGTCTCGTTGACATTTTCCCAAAGAACTATTTTTGTGTGAAAATGACACAACAAATACCACCAGAAGAAGGGGTAAATAAACTCCAAGAAGGTATCCATACATCATGTTCTCCAAAACTATAGCATTATTTACCCTAGAAATGTATCATGTCTTTAATACGGCTGCAGTATTATCCTTATTACATACTTTCATTGGACTGACCTCAAAAATACGCAGCATAGCCTGAAGTTGTCTTTGGTTTGGTTTTGGTTTTTTTTTTTTAAAATTATCTTCCTGCTGTTAATAGAGGTTACAGGAAGGTACCCCTGAGGCAGGGTCACAATCAAGCATTTGGATCTGGTAAGCCATAATTCTGTGTCCTTGCTCTTGCAAAGCTCTGGGGGCATTTCTGCCCATGTCCATGCTTTTTATTTGCATGGTAGAGAGGTAATTACAGCCACTGGTTTGGGGGTTTTTTTGGTTGGTTGGTTGAGGGTTTTTTGTTAGTTTATGAGTAGCTATGATTTGTTTTATTTCAGAAGAAACATCTGTGTATCTCTTTCCACACTCCAGGTAACCAGGTAGATACTTGGGGCCCAAAATAGCATTTTTGCTGGGTAATCCACAATACAGGGTATGGCAGTTCCTTGCTGCTGCCCTGGAAAGGAAAGGGCATGGGAGATTTCAGTTTTCTTTCCCCCTCCCCTCCATGATAGGACCCAGCTGATCTATCTGAAGATAGTTTAAACCAGTTCTTCACTAACCCATGATATTTTAGTGAACAGTGTGCTCATTAGTTACTACAGTAGAAGCTGAGGTACAGGGAGTTGAGTGTTGTAGGTGTACTGCAAAGGGCTCTCCAAAGCGGCTTTCAGTCAAAGCCTTGCATGGGGAGTGGCATATGGCTACACGACCTAAACAGAGGCAGAAGGAGGTGTTCTTGCAGAGGTGCCAGCTCCTCAGAGCTAAGACGTTTGCTGAAATATGCAGTTAAGGCTGCTGCCTGGCTGGCTGGGGTGAGCCTGCCCTGGAGGACCTGCTGAGGAGCTCCATGTGCATGGAGAAAGCCAGAGACAGTGTAATCCCAGCATACCTGGGTGACGCACAGAGGTGGGAAAGTCTGTCAGGGGTAATCTGGCCCTACCAACTAGCTAATCCAGAGCTGATTAATAGGGGAAGGAGGAGGTTAAATGACCGATATAGTAAATCACAAAGATAATTATTTGAAAGATGCTGCAGGAGAATCATAAGAAATGATGGAAAGTAATAAACTCTGTAAACAGCAGTGAATTTTTAAGACCCCAGTGCTTGTGGGAGTGCTTCAGGAAAAGGAAGAGAGAAAGTAAAACACAGAAAGGGACAATAATATTAGATGAGAACAACAGGAGTCAAATCATGAACTGCATTAGGGGACCTGGAAGATTGCAGTGTTTTAGATAAGGGAAGGACTAAGATAAGTACAGAGTCAGTAAACTGAGATAAGAGCAAGAGAGAGAAAGTAATTGGAGGCAGGGCACTTTGTGGTCAGTGGGCCAGATGTGCTAGGCTAACAGAGCTGCACCAGGGATGTGTTTGGCCCTGCTAGTACATCCCCAAGGACAGGAATATCAGAACTGACTTTGGAGTGATTGTTGATAATTTAGTGAAACCATCTGCACAGTGTTTGGTAACTGTTAAAAGAGCAAACAAGATACTGGAATATGCAGAGAGTGTTCTGGGCTATAAATGTACTGACTTTATTGTCCCACTGTATTAAAAAAAAAAAAAAAGGCAACAACAAAAAGAATACCTTATAGGATAATGGGTCAGACTGTGGGTTGGTGTAAATCAGCTTGGTTTCCTTGAAGTCAGCTAACTAGCTTTATGCTAAGAGAGTCTGTGGCCTGTTTTTAGTAACGTGTATGCCTCTCTAGTGTGGTATATACACAGGACACTTTTACTTGTTACATTATTCAGAAAGATTTACAAATGATTGAGGGCTGGGGCGTAGCATGAGACCAATAATAAAAGATGAAAATAAATAAAAATGTATGACTTCTGAACTCTACTGATGTAGCCATCTTGTTCCATTTTTCTGTAAAGCTCTCTGCTGGAGGTCTATACATCCCTTTAATTCTTACAGTGATCTTTTGTGACCAG